TACTGGAAGTAAAGGTTAGTTGCATTAGGAAATCACTTTGACAGAGGATTCCATCAGTTCCAATGGAAAACACATTTCTCAGAATGACTTCCCTTCATCCTCAGTTGGGATGAAATGCCACGTGGAGTGGTTTGGCAGTCCAGCTTAAAGAACACACCGTGTGAGTGCAAAGTCACATGGAAGATGGCCTTTGTCTCCGCCAGCAAGGGCAGTCTGAGGAATGCTGGGCCCCAGCATCACTGCCATCCCACCTCTGCCCCCCCCCCCGGTGACCCTTGCCCTGCGTCAAGTGGGACAGACACACAGCTGGGCGGGCAGGAGTGCTGGTAGGAAATTGTGCTTCTGTCCCCGTCTCCAGTGGGGCTGTGGGTGGCCACGACCCCGCCCAGCAAGGGGCCCAGGCCCGGCAGGGCTCTTTTTGTAGCAGGAACTCCTTTGCATATTAGGCAACACACCCCTAATGGAGCCAATCCTCCAAGAGCTTACAGTAGCCCCTGTAAGAAGAGCTCTGTAAGCTCTTGGAGGATTGGCTACATGAGGGGGGGTGTCGCCTAATATGCAAAGGAATTCCTGCTACAAAAAGAGCCCCGGGACCACCCCTGTCCGTCACCCTCAGAAAAAGAAAAGAATTTATCTTTCTGTAGGAATGGGAGGGGCTGCCCATGTTTACCTCTGACAGGGCTACAGCCGACGGGGTGACTTGCATGGAGGGGGGCACAGCTGCCTCGTGAAACGGCCGAGATCTCAGATTCTGAATCAGCAGCTCTCTCACAGCACACGTATAGAAACAACCTCATCCTGTTGCATAACTGATCTCTTGCATTGTGTCTGGTTTGGTATGCCCAGGGCTATTTTTGGGCAGGAACGCACAGGAACGGAGTTCCGGCTGGCTCCCAAGTTGGCCACACCCAGCAGGAACTCATTAGCATAATAGGCCACACCCAATAGCAGAAGCTCATTAGGATTGGCTACATTGGGGTGTGTGGCCTAACATGCAAAGGAGTTCCTGCTACAAAAAAAGGCCCTGGGTTTTGACAACAAACAAGGTAAACAGAATAAGAAGGGAAAGGTGGGTGTGTGTCCAATTCCCCATTCATTCAAAGTAAATCCACGTTTGATGAACAAAATAGAATTTATTAAAAGAGATGGTTAGATCAGGAACACAATCATTGTTAGTAATGACTACAAAAGTCCAAGGGAAACATAATAAAGGAACTTGAACCTAGACAGGACCAATGAGCCCAATTCCCGCTGGCAGGAGTGTGATAAGTCTTAGCGCCCTTTCCTTGGGAACACAACGGTTCATACTACATAAACACAAGTTCAGTTCACAGGCCTCAGAATACATAATAAGGAGAGCAAGCCATAACTCCTTCCCACCACCAGCTGGTTAACCTTGAGCAGTTCCGCGGTGTGATAGCAACAGAAAGTAAACACCTACACAAGAGGCAACAAGAGGGGGGATGAACCGAGTACAGTATACCATGCAGAATAAAACATACAACATAATGGCAGCTTGCTGACAGTGTGGCTGGATGACCACACTTCTGGTAACATGGGGATGTGGCCTAATGTGCTAATGAGCGGTGCTGTCGGGGTGTGGCCTAATATGCTAATTAGTTTCTGGTGTTGGGTGTGGCCTATTATGCTAATGAGTTCCTGCTGGGCTTTTTCTACAAAAAGAGCCCTGGATGCCTGTGTATGTACTCATGGGGGAGGGGGCACAAAACCTTCGCTTCTGCCTTGTGGACTCTGTGGAGACCGTGGGGTGTGTTGTTTAAATATATACATGACCCCCCCTCCCCCCCAGTCTGCTTGCAGGAAACTGGGTTGCCCAGAGGGTGGGAACCAAAGGCCGTTTTTCCCTCTTCATCTACACACCTGTCCGGCAGTACAAAATATTTCCCTTTGTCCTCTAAAGAATACAAAGAAGCGCAGGAAAGCTGATGGTGCAATAAAATCTTCAGATCCTGTTTATTTTGTCCTCTCCACGGCAGGCGTCTGGTGGGTGAACTACTAGAACTTGAGGGCATCCAATGAAGCTGATGGGCAGCAGATTCAGGGTGGACAAAAGGAAATACCTCTTTGCACCGAGAGTGACTAAAATGTGGAATTTGCTGCTAGAGGGATGGTCACAGGCATAGATGGCTTTAAAAGGGATTAAACAGATTCATGGGGGATGGATCTATCAGTGGCTAGCCATAGTAACTAAAGGGAACCTCCATGTTCAAAGGCATAAGAACATAAGAGAAGCCAATGTTGGATCAGGCCAATGGTCCATCCAGTCCAACACTCTGTCACACAGTAGCCAAAAATACCAGGTGCCATCAGGAGGTCCACCAGTGGGGCCAGGACACTAGGAGCCCTCCCACTGTTGCCCCCCCCCAAGCACCAAGAAGACAGAGCATCACTTGCCCCCGAGCCCCTATCTATACCTTGTGGCTAATAGCCACTGATGGACCTCTGCTCCATATGCTTATCTAATTCCCTTTTGAAGCCGTCCATGCTTGTAGCCGCCACCACCTCCTGTGGCAGTGAATTCCATGTGTTAATCACTCTTTGGGTGAAGACGGACTTCCTTTTATCCATTCTAACCCGACTGCTCAGCATTAAGCCTCTGAATCCCAGAACCAGGAGACAACATCAGGGGAAGGCCTCGGCCTCCATGCCCTACTGTTGGCCCTCCAGAGAAACTGGTTGGCCACTGTGTGAGACAGGATGCTGGACGAAATGGACCCCTGGACTCTGATCCAGCAGGGCTCTTCTTAGCTTCTTGTGTTCTGGTGCTACCTACCCTGGGATGGGGAATAAAATGGAATTCCAGTGGCCCCTTAAAATGCTAACAAAATTGACTCCAGCATAAGCTTTCCTTACCCTGAGTACAATTCCTCAGATGCTCTGGAGCATACATCCACAAGGGGGATTATATAGATAACTAGTAAGGAAAGCCCGTCGTGGCGGTAGACGACGGGCCCTAGATAGGAAGGAAGGGCGAGTGGAAGGGAGGAATGGAGAAGAGGAGGTAGAGAGAGAGAAAAGGAAGGGAGAAAGGAAGGAAGGAAGGAAGGAAGGAAGGAAGGAAGGAAGGAAGGAAGGAAGGAAGGAAGGAAGGAAGGAAGGAAGGAAGGAAGATGGGTAGAAAGACAGAGATTGAAAGAGAGTGAATGGGAGGAAGGATAGTTGTGAAGGAAGAAGGGCAGAGAAACAGAGGGGGGAAACAGAGTGGGTGAGAGAGAGAATGTTGGGAGGGGAGAGAGAAAAAGGAGGGGGGGAGGGGACCCGGCCTGGACTGTGGACAGGGGCCGGGGGGAAGCGGTGGACGGAGGGCTGGGCTGAAAGCGTCCCTTACCGTATGTGTGGAAGATGGCCGCTCAGAAGAGCTGGCTCCGATGACTGGCTCCCTCCCCTCCCAGCCACCCAGCCAATGGCAGGGCAGGTTGGCTGAGGGAGCCAGTCATTGGAGGCAGCTCTCCTGAGTGGCATATTTTCCACCCATACACTAACGGGGCGCGTTTTAGAATTTTGGCAGCGACTACTCTTTTATATAAGGGAGAGATAGAAAGATGGGGAGGGGGGAGCCGTAGTTTCAGCATCTGTACACGCAAAGAGGCACGCCCACAGCTGCCTGGCTTCAGCACCAGTCCCATGCACATAAAAAGCACGAGAGAGGCTCAAAGGGACTTTTTCTTTTTAATTCCCATTGAAATCAAGTGCATTTAAATATTACTCGCCCAGAACAGAATGACCCAAACGCCAAATGTTGGCCAGCAAAACCAAGGAAGGGAATTCAGGTGGGGGCAAGGGTGTAGACTTTCCAATTTCCCGGGGGGGGCTGGGGCTGGGCCAGAGGCATTGATGTGCTAGGAGCAAGGGTGGCTCCCGGGGGAGGCTGAGCACTTTCCTGAAAATTTCGGCGGGGGCTGAAGCCCCGCCGCCCCCACGAAGATTACGCCTATGGGTGGGGGTAGCCATGTTTGGTCTGAAGTAGCAGGCTAAAGTTTAACTCCAGTGGCACCTTTAAGGCCGACAAAGTAATGAGTATCGTATATTAGTATATTACTAATCTGAGTTGACAGCCAAATCTTGAGAATGTAGTAAATTTCAAAGGAAATTGAGATGGAAGTAGGTACTCAATACAGAATTGAACTAAAAGTGGAAGATAAGAACAAAATCATTATTTCCTGTCTAGTTGTTCCATCAATCTGTGTTGTTGAAATGAAAACTGTTATCTTAGGTGTTTTGTTTTTGTTTGTTTGTTTGTATGTAGTCGTTGATGTTCTTGTTTGTGTGTATACGATACAGGCTTATATGTTTAAAAACCCAAAATATATATTGTACCCCCCCCCCAAAAAAAAAAAGACCGACAAAGTTTAATTCTGGGGGGAAGCCTTCGCGTTGCGTGCAGGAACAGTTGTCACAGACACTCTGTGTGTGAGAGAGAGAGAGAGAGTGAGAGAGAGATCTGCGGGCCCGAGCGCCTGTCCCGCGCCCTCCTCCAGGAAAGAGCCGCTCCGAATCGCTGAATTAATCATTACCAGGCAGTTTTCGTTTTTCCTCCGCGCCCAGCCGCGGCTGAACCTGTTTCGATTTCCTTTTCAGCCTGGGCGTGTTTTGTTTTCTCGCCGCCAGCGCGGTAAAAACCCACGTGGCGCAGGGCAGCGGGAGGAAAACGGCCCCGGCCGCCTCCCCTTGATCTTTCAGGCCGGGCTTCCCGCGGCCCCCTCCGGCTCCAGCCCCCTTCGGATCGCTCCAGCGCGCCTGTCCCCACCCCCACCCCCCCCCGGACGGGCTCCAACATGCCCGGCAGCCGCTCCCGTCGCCCGGCGGCTTGTCCCCGCCTGCCCGGGCCTCCCGGCCTCTGATTGGCTGCCGGAGGAGGGGCTCGCCGAAAAGGGGGCGGAGATTCCCCGCCTGGGTTCTACGACGTCACTGGAAAACCCCCTGGCCCTGGGACTTGGCTCTGCGCGCCCGATCGAAACTGGCACTCTCGGGGAGGACTCGCAGCCGGGATCCGGACAGGCAGTTTCCTCTTCTCCGCCTGCTGCCGCCGCCGCCGCTGCTGTTCGAGAGCTCCCTCCAAGAGAAGCCGGCTGGTGCCCTGCGCTCCCTTCCCGGGATGATGCCCACCAAAAGCCTGCGCAAGCCCGCGCCTCACAACGCGGCGCCCGCGGGCACCCCCGACCGACGAGGCCACCGCGCCAGGATTGCCCTCCCCACCCCCGACACAAGTGAGTGGCTCCCCATCGCGCCCTGAGCTGAGTTATGGGGCCAGGGGATGAGGGGGACCGAGGGGATCTTCTTGTAGGACGGGGAGGGGAGGGGCGGGCGGCTCGGTGGCAGAGCATCCGCTTGCCAGGATCAGGTAGGAGGTGACGGCTCCCGCCTGGCTTGCATTCATCCGATCTGGGAAGCTAGGAAGCGTGAGCCCCGCTTGACACTTGGATGGGACACCACCAGGGAAGTCCAGGCTTGCTGTGCAGGGGCAGGTGACGGCAAACCACCCTTGCTTGTCTCCTGCCTTGAAGACCCTCTGGTGACTTGACGGCGCTTTCCAGCACCACCGGCAGGTGATGTGAAAGGTCTCAGCCCGAGACGCCAGTCAGAGACTACTGGATGAACTCCATTTAAGGCAGCTTCGTGTATTATTGAGGGAAAGGGGGAGAATAAAAGGGACCCCTTGCCCATCCAGTCAACCACTACCCCCTTCCCCCGATCAAGACTACCTAAGCCCTGCGTCCTTCTCATCTCCGGCTACTTGTCCCCCTCACTGGAATCTGAGCGGTACAAGCTTTAGTTCAAAAATGTGAGTCTAATGGCACCTTAAAGTAAAGGTAAAGGTTCCCTTGCTCGAAAGCCAGTCGAATCCGACTCTAGGGTTGCGGTGCTCATCTCCGTTTCAAAGCCAAAGAGCCAGCGCTGTCCGAAGACGTTTCCGTGGTCATGTGGCCGGCATGACTAAACACCAAGGCGGACGGAACGCTGTTACCTTCCCACCGAAGTGGTCCCTAGTTATCTACTTGCAATGTCTTGCTTTCGAACTGCTAGTTTGGCAGGAGCTGGAACTAGAGACGGGAGCTCACTCCTTCATGCAGCACACTCGGCACCTTAAAGACCAACAAACTTTTCCAGGTGTAAGCTTTTGTGAATCAAAGCTCACTTCATCGGATACTGGTAGAATGAAGGTCCATCGGTCCTGTTACTTCTGCATCCTGACCCCAACTGGCCCTGCTTTCCAACACCCCTCCCACCTTCTGACCTGGACACAAGGGCTCATGGACCTGTACATCTATAGACCTCATTGAGCCCTAACCTGGATGGCCCAGGCTGGCCTGATCTGGTCAGATCTCAGAAGCTAAGCAGGGTCGACCATGGTTCATACTTGGATGGGAGACCACCAGGGATGCCCAGGGTTGCTAAGGCAGGTGGATAAATATTTCAGTAAACTAAACATAATTCTCTGTCCTTCTTTCTCCTGGTCATGGTGTCACAGATGCAACCCACTCTGTGTCCAGTCCCAGTTCTGTTGCCATTTATGACCCATGAAGACCAGAGCTTTAGGACCCATATTAAGCTCCCTAGTTATTCAGGTATGAACTTCAACAGGACAGTGGATGGATTAGAGGCGTGACAGGGCAATAGCATGCTAAGGTTTTATTCTTATATATAACAACAAGAAATAACAACAATAATAAAGGATTTTCTTAATGCCTTGATTTCTTTTTCTGTTGCCTTGACTTCTTCACTTCTCTGACTGGCAGCAGCTCTCCAGTGTCTCGGGGGGGATGGGACTGTTGTATCCCCTGCTAATTGAACCTGGGAGCAATGTTCCCTCTAAGCTGTGGAGTCTTGTGAGCAAAAATTCTACTTTGTGAGCTACTGGCATTAAAGTTGTGAGTCAGCAATTTGGCTACTGCACAGATTAGTTTGCTCTGGAGCCGTCCTTCCTGAGCTAAGACAAAAATGTGTGAGCCGGAGGCTAAAGAACTGTGAGCTAGCTCACACTAACTCAGCTTAGAGGGAACACTGGCCTGGGACCTCCTGCATGCAAAGCAGATGTTTCACCACCGAGCCATGACTTTCTCCGCTATCAGAATTATCCATGGAAAGGGATGCCTAGGAACAAGATCCAGTGTTCTTGTGTTCAACCCGTCTGCCTTTTTTCCAATTCCAAATACCATTTTACTGTAGTACATAAATCAAGAGTCACACCTTTGTGCATTTTTGGAATACTCCAAGCTACTGTGCATTTCCAAAACTTGTGCTTAAAATCTGCCTCATTATGGTCATATTTTGACCATATATATTTGTCAGTATGATATAAGCAGTTTAGTCTTGGGTGGGAGAGGGGATCCATCGGTATATTATTTTGTAAAAAAAAATTCTTTCATCCTGCTCGTAATAGCAGCGATGGCCGTGGCTGCAAAAACCTTTCACCAATTGTCTTCAGATGCTTTTGGCTTAAGGTGTTCAAATGTCTGAGGTAGTTCAAGATTCATATTTCACTGTTATCATTCCAGGAAAAAAACGGTACGGGCATTTTACAACCTCTCTGTTGGGCAGGGACTCTGACGTACCCTCTGCATGCCTGAAGGTCTTTCCTTCTGCTTTCACTGGACTGGACAGTTGAATGCATTTATTATATTGCCACCCGGTCCACAGAAGCATATGAGGACACCGGGGTATACAGAAGCAAGCCATGCAAAGCATTTCAAGCTGTGGTGGTTAATATCTTCCTAGTAACAAGTTCAGAATGGAATTTTACAGTTATACAGCCATAATCAGAACAGGTGAGGAATGATGCGTTTGTATGTGTTTTTCCCCCTTACAGAGTCCGAGGAGGTGACGGAATGTGCTTTGCAGCTACGCAAGATCGGGGACAAACTGAACCTCCGCCAGAGGATTCTGAACTTGATCGCAAAGCTTTTCTGCCCGGGAACTCAAGAATGTTTGGAGTGAAAGCCAAAGATTGAAAGGAAACGAGTGTTTGGGAAGAGCTGGTGTGTGTATGGCTGGAGTCCTACTGAGCCTTCTGTGAGACCCGGCGAAAGAACGTGTCTTGCAAACTTGGGCTGCCAGTTTCCTGTTTCCAAGGAAGGCTGCTGTAATATTGATTTCTTCAGATGATGCGTCTGAAAGCGGGCGTGAAGGAAACGCAGCGAAGAAAATTGTTGGGATTTACAGTTTACCAGTGATGTTGATCTGTGAAGTGCATTGGAAGAAAAAAAAGAAGAAGAAGGAATCTGGGAGTGGCAATCTAACCCAGAGTTTGGCATTCTGATTTCCGTGGTTCTGGAATTCGTTCGCTCAGCTGTTATGCTGTGCTGAAAAAGTTAATGGAATTTCATGCACAGCGAAGGACTACGATGTCTTGTAAACGCTGGACTTTGATATACAGTCTAGGTCAGTTTCTTAGTTCTTGACGATTCTCATTTTCCAGAGTTTGGAGTCCCAGACCTAGTAAACTGGGAATGTTTTCCTTGACAGGTCCTTTATTTTGTTGAAGATGTTGTATGTCAGTAGATGAATTCATTAGGAAACAAACGGTAAAACTATGAATGATGAAGATGAAGCTGGCACGGCTTCAATTTTGACATCCCAGGGTATGCCCTATGGGTAAGAATTATAAGTTGTTGTTACTGTTGTTGAAGCTGTAATTAATTACTTTGGAATTGTGAACCAAAGCGATATAATATATGTAACTGTTCAAACTATGCAGTAAGGGTTGCATCAGATAGCCCTTTGAGTAAAAATGAAAAGGTCAGAATTCTTAGCATTACAGAAATAAATGGCACATATTAATCAAAGATACAGTTCTTTGTGTGTAGAGAAGGTTACAGATTTCCTTACAGTGTTAGAAGTGCTTGAACAGAATAAGCTCTAGAATGGAACAGTCAATTAAAAGAGGAAATCACATTACAATATAAAATTTTGAAGAAAAATAATACATTTCTTATACTTTATTTTAAAAAAACCCACCACATGTCTCTAGGATTAACTGTTACAGGTACTTCTCAAGAGAGAGCGATTTGAAAATAGATCTTTGCCCCATTCAAGAGATCCAAGTACGATCAGAAGTTGACAGGGATCTCTTCTAGATCCAGGGTTTCCATTCCTTGCAGGAGTGAAGAATGATTTGTGAGGGAATGAGTTGTCAGGATGGGGTGCTTCTGACTAAGTGTACGCAGGAAGACTATTTAGTCCAGATCTGTGTCACATTTTTGGCATCCCAAATGAACTGCATAGTCCCTGGATCTGGACTGACACCAGACAGACCTCATCGATTATTCCGTAGCTGTCTTAATGTACATTCTGTGAATTAGAAACTGGCTGTCAATTGAATGAAATGTATACTGGCCTTAATTAAACCCTATCTGGACTGGCTGAGGAGTGAGAGGTCTTTAGTGTCCTTCTGCCAAATAAAATCACAGAATGATGACTTGAACACAAGGCAAGCATATTTGCTTTGATTCTCCCCCCCCCCCCCAATTTTAGATTGCCTTGCTTGAAAGACTCAGTTTTAAAAACTGTTTCATGAGATTGGTCCATTTCCTCCTGGTTCACAAATGTGGTTTTGTTTTGTTTTTTGGTGACTGAAGTACCATTTCAAATCTGAATGGCTAACATTGCTTTGATCCATTGCATAGGCCACGTTCCGGATAGGACGGGTGTTTTAGTGGAAGCAAACACTTGTGCATTAATGAAGTGTCATTTAAAGTCTATGGTATCATACTTATTTATATTTCTATGTTTTCATTTTACGAAGGGATTTTTTTTCTCCTTTCCCTTGTTTCATGTCTCGATGCTGGCCAACTGCAGAGGATGTTGCTCTGCTAAACGTGTGTGTTTGTCAGGGACACGGTTTACAGCAAAAGAGCTCGTTTGGAGCATCTCAGTTTTGTGCACGCACCATTTGTGCGCTGCTGTTCTGAAACAGCTCCATTTTTTTGTTGTTGTTCTGTGTTACAAACTGTTTTTTTGTGATGCTGTTTTGCTAAAATAAATAAAGTTGACGTGTTTGCCAACATGCTTGGCCGTATGATTTCTTTAGAATTGGAACAGTCACATCACGCCACCTGCCTCATTTGCACTTGAAACGCAGGCTATACATAAGGGACAGGACATCGATTTGCATACCTCTAAAATCCAGTTGCCAACATTCTGTCTGAGTTTGGTGACAAAGAATAAAGGGTGCTAATCCTTGGGGGGGGGGAGTCTCCCTTGTGACACCATCTAACCCAGTAATTTCTCAGGGCCAGCAAGCCACAAACGGCGGACTGGCTTGATTACTCACAAGTAGAGGCATTATTAAAATGCCCCCAGGTTGCCCTTTAAATCACTTAATGTGCTTGAGACAAACTGGTAGCGGCCAACATTCCCCCTGGTGGGTCTGGCCAGTGTTTGAACTGGGGGGGGGGGCAGGCTTTTCAAAGTGCTTTGATCTGTAGCAATTAGCAGGTGAGAATGCCTATCTCCAGCTGACACAAGATTCACCTGCTCATTCCGTCCTATCAGGCTGCAGTTTGAAAAGGTACCAGAGGCGCCCCCTTGGTTTTTTGCTCTGCTTCAGGACATCCCGGGAATCTTAGAAATGAGGCCGGGAGACGCTGATAACGGATCTCCTTTCCAAGCCTTCTTTTTCTCTCTGCTCTTGCAGTGGTTGGCTGTTTGAAATTTATTCCTGGAAGGGGAATGTTTGTACTGGGCCTCAGGAGCAGGAGCTCGGTGGCTGCCAAACGGAGGTGGGATTGAACATTTGGGGAGTTAAAAACAAAAAAGACATCTGCATACAGTTGCCAGGTCCAACTCAGGAAATGTGAAGTCACTTGCTTAACAAACTAGTCGGAGTGCGATTCAGCAAGAACACAGCTTTATTCTTCAACTCGAACACAACTCCAACACGGATCAACATCTGATAGCCAGAACAGCCTTTACATGGCAACTGTCCTGCTTTTAAACATCCCCGGCTAATGTAGCCACACCCACTGTACAAATACCAACAAATAAGGTTGTTCACATAAGGACCAATCACGGTCGTTCCCGCTCAGGGAGCTTGCTGTGAAGTGATTGGTTTGTTACTTCCTGGGCTAGCAATACTATTGGATGGATTTGGATCCTAGCCCAGGATGAAGCTTAACATTACAAGTCAATGAGATGTTTCACATACATCATGCATTCCATGGCAGTTTTGGAATACACTACAGGAAATATCTGGGGCTTTGGGGGTGGAGCCAGGAGACTTTGAGGGTGGAGCAAGGATGTGACATCACTTCTGTTATGTCACTAGGGTTGCCAGGCGAGGCCAGCAAGCCAGAAGGGAGTTCTGGCCATCACATTTGAGCATTCCTTTTAAAAACACTCCTTGTAAATGCTTTCCTTCCATTGGAAAATGGTCCATTTTTCCAGGAGAGGCACCACCAGCTATGCTGAACATTTGGTGCCTCCACCTCAAAAAACAGCCCACCGCCGACCCAGATACCCATGGATCATTTCTCCATTATACCCTATGGGGACCGGTCTCCATAGAGTATAACGGAGTGCCCAGCAGCCATTCCCGCCCCCCTGCTTTCTGACATTGCTGAAATGGAGGGAGGGGCTCCGAACCAGGGGATCCCCTGCCCCCAACTGGAGATTGCAAAACAAAGAGGGAGATCACGGGATGGAAGTTTGGAAAGAAGTAAACAACCGTGATGTATTATGTCAAAAAACTCTCCAAAGACCAGAAATTTCATTTTCCAATATTTCAGTTCACTGGAAGAAATTCAAATGCCATAGTTTTAATGCTGCTGGCCTGGATCGCCAAGGCTAGCCTGATCTCATCAGATAAGCTAAGCAGAGTCAGCCCTGGTCAGTATTTGGATGGGACACCTCCAAGGAAGACCGGGGTCGCTACACAGAGGCAGGCCATGGCCAACTACCCCTGAACATCTCTTGCCTTGAAAAGCCCATGGCGCCCCCAGAAGTCGGCTGTGACCAATGCTCCCTCTAAGCCATGGAGTCTTGTGAGCAAAAATTCTACTTTGCGAGCGACCGGCATTAAAGTTGTGGGCGAGCAATTTGGCTACTGCATAAATTAGTTTGCTCTGGAGCCCTCCTTCCTGAGCTGAGACAAAAATCTGTGAGCTGGAGGCTAAAAAACGGTGAGCTAGCTCACACTAACTCAGCTTAGAGGGAACGCTGGCTGTGACACCCACTTGCAGTAGCACACCTGTCCATGTTCCTACGCAACAGTGCGATCCTGTGCAGACTTATGTCCATCGAAGTCCACTGGTTTCAGAGTGTTCTGACTGTAGTAACTACATAGGTAAAGGTAAAGGGTTCCCTTGCTCGAAAGCCAGTCGAATCCGACTCTAGGGTTGCAGTGCTCATCTCCGTTTCAAAGCCGAAGAGCCAGCGCTGTCCGAAGACGTTTCCGTGGTCATGTGGCCGGCATGACTAAACACCAAGGCAGGCGGAACGCTGTTACCTTCCCACCGAAGTGGTTCCTAGTTATCTACTTGCAATTTCTTGCTTTCAAACTGCTAGGTTGGCAGGAGCTGGAACTAGAGACGGGAGCTCACTCCGTCATGCGGCACCCGGGTCTCGAACTGCTGAACTACTAACCTTCCACAGCCTGCAGTTCAGCGTCTTAACCACTTGAGCCAACGCAGCTACATAGGATTGCCCTGTAAATCAGTGATTATTATTCACTGTTTATAAGGAAGGGAAAGACAACATGGTGGTGCGGATAGAACATGACCGTCACTCCAGACACTGGGTGGCCGAGCTGTCACTCAACAGAGGACTATAGGGATCTAGCCCCCCCCCCCCGGTAGGGATTTGCAGTGGAGAAATCCTCCCCGAGTGTTAGTTACCCCAGCTGCCATGCAGATGGGTGTTTTGGGAGTCTCGAGCACAGTAGCAAAACGCTCCTTCTTGTGGCAGGTATTGTGACTTCTCTGCGTGGATGTCCAGATGCA